TCAAAGTTTCAGCACAAAATTTTCGTCATCATTTTACGTGATATCATTTTCTTAGAAAAGTTCCTATTGTCTTTCAGTCAATCATAATCCAGAATTTCAGTGTGTAATTTGCACTGGTGTTGCACTTTTTGCACTGATGTTACACTTGAACTGCACTCCTCTTAGCCAATCAGAATCGAGTAATTTTTTCATGTGTATTACTATACCCAGAATAATAGTTTATAGAAAGGGTGATCAAAAACAAGGGACTTTACCTTTGCTTTTGAATTTGGTTTTCACACAGTCGACGATCGATTTTCATCGCCCAAGCGTAGCTGGTGCGTATAAACCACAAGTAAACTACAGGCTGAATGCGCTTAATTTTTAAACAGTTGAAAATCTGAACTTTTCGTGGTTGAATTATTCTCCCACGGTGCTTTTGTAACATCTTTTCACTGATATCGGACTGACGTTAGAAGAAGTATACCGTCGGAATCTACCACGAAAAACAAATCATTTGAAACGAAGCAGGAATGGAGACCGCAGCTAACAAATGGTTGTGCAATTTTCAGTCAACTCCGCGTTGGATAGACAATCTGCTACCAAGACTACAAGCTGGAAATGGTGAAACTACAAGCACTTGCGGAAACTTTTATTTGGCACAGTCAGTCATAAATATTTTGCTTTCGGCTGTAGCAAAATACGACGCAAAGTTTTCCTTTGAACCTGTCGATTCCTCGAGCTTCTTCATTGAAAAGGAGCCAAATTATTTTGAACTGCTTATTTTTATCAGTTCAAATAGCCTTCGCTCCGCCGAAATACATTTGAAAGAAGATGGATGTGTTCAAGGCCTAACACTGATCGAGATGAGAGAAAATACGCGTACTCAAAGCAGCTGGAAAGGCCTTTGCAGAAAGTCTAAATCAGGAAAAGAGTATTTGTCGTCTAAAGTGATGCGTTCTGAATTGTCCGACCTTCTTTCAAAACTCCTGACGGATATGTTATTTTTGCAACATTACCACGACAAAACAATTCAAGGTGTTGAAGTCCGCAATATTTCATCCGAAGATGCCGTGTCTCTTGAAATAAAAATCAGAGGTTTAACTTTGATTGTGGATCTCGTAGTTGGCATTGATTGCGAAGGATCGTGGCCCGTTAATCGCGATTCCTCTAAAGGCACGGAAAAAGCAGTCACGAAATCCAAAGGGAAAACAGTCAACTGCGGAATACAACTGGTTTCCAAAGCCACTTCACTGGAATATCATTGGAGAATTTGGTTTTGCAAAGCAGAGAGATTTGAGCTCAATTTCAAGCGCTTTCCCCAGCGACAGAAATGCTTCCAGCTTTTGAAATCATTTGTTTACAACGAACTTGACTGCGATTTTCTTAAACCGTATCATTTACAAACTGTTTTGTTGCACGAAAGCGCAAAATTCTCCGATGACAGTCAGTGGACCATTCAAACACTTCCTCTTCGCTTTTATGGGCTTATAAATCTTCTGGAATCTTTTGCTCGCGAAAAATTTTGTCCTCATTTCTTCACTCCGTCGCTGAATTTGTTTACAGAAATAAGTAGTCACAATTTACGAGTGCTCTGTCAAAAGATTAAGTTCCTCAAAGATGCACAGTCCTTACGAGTAGAGGAAAACACTTGGTTATAGAACTGAAAACGAAGGCCGGACGCAGCGAAAGGCTGCGGCGAGTAAATAAATAAGGATCTTTCTTCCGGCCTTTTCAACAAGATTGGTCCGTCAGTCGATGTAGAAAAATGAAACAATAATTGACTGTTGTGGCCTGAACTGTGAAAAAGTACTTGTGAATGGGGGCAAGTGTTTTCAAGGACCAAAGGCCTTGATAAAAGTTAGCCACGAGTGATGCAGGTGGTGACTCTCATTATAATACTTTGTGTGTGAGTTTATGTTTTCAGCTTTCATCTCAATAAAATTGAAAAGATTCAAGAAAAAATTTATTGGTCATTGCTTTTGCGACATTTGGTGGCTCTTAAAAGAGCCGTTTTGTTTTAACTCGTTGCCGCACTTCACTGTTTGCTCCTCTTTTCGGATTTCTTCGGAAGAAGAACAGCCTGGATGTTTGGAAGTACGCCGCCCTGAGCGATGGTGACTCCACCAAGCAACTTATTCAGCTCTTCATCATTCCTGACGGCAAGTTGGAGATGCCTCGGAATGATTCTCGTCTTCTTGTTGTCCCGTGCAGCGTTACCGGCAAGCTCAAGGATTTCTGCGGACAAATACTCAAGAACTGCGGCCATATAAACCGGAGCGCCAGAACCAATTCGTGGAGCGTAGTTGCCCTTGCGGAGAAGACGGTGAACTCTGCCAACTGGAAACTGAAGTCCAGCTCGAGATGATCGGCTTTTGGCTTTGCTACGGCTTTTACCAGATTTTCCTCGTCCCGTCATAGTTGCAAGAGTTAGTAAACTTTGAACAAACTTTTGTAAACTTACAGACCAAATAGCACGGTGGCTTTTTTTTGCCCCCGACTTTATGTTTGAAAACGGATCGAAATGAACCAATAAGATTTGTCGTTTATAGGGAAAAAGGGAACATCGACGTCAATCAAATTCTCTTCTGTTTCCTCAGGCGGGAAGCTCTGTTTCTTATAGCCAATCACATATTGGTATTTCGATCCAAGTAACTTTTCGATCCGCATGATTTTTGCTATAAATTCCTGAACCTTTGTATCCTCACTCACAGCACTTCCAAGCGTTTGTTACTTGTAAAAGTGTTCATCAGGTAAAGAGTTTAGAAAGCATGCCTCCGAAAGCAGGTGCCAAGAAGGCGAAGAAAGTTGGCGGAAAGAGAGCTTCAGGCGACAGGAAGAAGAGAACCAAAAAGCGAAGAGAAAGCTACTCCATCTACATCTACAAAGTGCTTAAACAAGTTCACCCCGACACTGGAATCTCGAGCAAGGCAATGGGCATCATGAATTCCTTCGTCCACGATGTCTTCGAGCGTATTGCTGGCGAGTCTTCTCGTCTTGCCCACTATAACAAGAAAAGCACCATCGGTTCCCGTGAGATCCAGACGGCAGTCCGGTTGCTCTTGCCTGGTGAGCTGGCCAAGCACGCAGTGAGCGAGGGTACAAAAGCAGTAACCAAGTATTCCAGCAGCAAGTAGACGGTGAAGCGAAAACAAAAACGGCTCTTTTAAGAGCCACCAAATATCAATAAAGATCATGGTCAACGAATTCAATCTGCCGGTTAATTTTACACTGTAAGGGGAAATACTTTTTGTTTAAGACAGCCCGTACAAAAACCGTTTGTGAAGCTTTCTCTTAAATTTTCCTTAGCAAAGTATTTCGGTACCTTAGAAAACTGTTGTTCATAAACCGAATCAAAGAATATCGTTTCTGTCCGTTGAAAAGTATCGCATTTATACCCATAATAATTTAAGGCTATGATAACTTCTGTCCACCCGCTCCCACGATCGTTTAAAATTTCCCATTTTCTCCCTTGCTCTTTTATTAATCTTATTAATAAATGTCTGTTCCCTAAAACTTTCCGGCGTTCATAGTAGACAAGCAGTAGTGTTTTCCCCCGCTAGGTGCTAAGTTGCCGACATGACGGCAAACCTCACAAACGCATATTTTGGCCGGCTGCATGACAAAGATGACCAATTTTCGGTCCAGTGCGGGTTCTCTCTCAATCACGCAACTCTCTCGGTAGTGTTTCGTGGAAAAGAGGGCCGTAAGTGAACTGGCGAGAGTTACATAACGTGCAACGAAGAAAACACGGAAAGGATAGAATTATTTTGAGGATTCTCTTGGTAACATAACGTGTACGTTATTACATTTCCACACCTTGTATTTCACAATTAATAATATGACATTCTTCTTTGTTACAAAACTATACATCAGTTGCCTGTCCTGTGAAACTAAATATGACTTAAAAAAATGCTATGTCAACAACTTCATAAATAGGCTATGACCCATTACTAGTATAAAGAAAAAACTGAAGGGCTATCCAAAGAGAATAGACCATTTTACAGTTGTCTGCTCAGTGACCTGGCCTTTGTATGGCAGCGAGGCTAGAGTTGACCTTGTTTTGATACAGACCTCACTACTTT